TGTATTACATAATACAGTGATGATAATCTAAATTATTTTTAATGATAGAAAATCAGTTGAGAGTAAAACAGGAATCAGTAAAGTCCAGCTCTCCTACCCCTCTATTTTTTGATTTTTTAAAAATAAAAATCCCATTTTATTCACATTACAGCTACTATTTGCATTTTGTAGGTATAATATTCTTATCAAGTTGTAGCAAACCTATTCACATTAATATATTCCACTTGGTTATAACCCATGGACTATATATTGATATAGACCATATTTTGGGCACTTCAAGTCAGGACACATGGTTTGGAAAAAATTTTTCTTTCTTATAGTTATACTTCAGTGTGGAACAAGTCCTTCCCACTCTCATTCATACCTCATGGAAAAAAATCTCCTCCTCCTATGTTTTCATTCTAAATTAGCATAGTCTCAAAGCAGAAGAAACCTTATACTAATCCTTGATCTTATCTTTCTCCCTTACTATGCCCCTTTATTACACCGAAGTCATCACTATATCATATCTCCTCTAGCTCAAAAATTACTAAATCCGGTTACTACTGCCTTAGCTCAGGCCTTCTTTTTCTTGCTGTACATTTGTAGTATGTTCCTGACTGGTTTTGTGAATTAATCACATCTTTGTCTAACTGGATCTCCATCACCCTAAGACAGGATCCAAACTCCTTAGCTTGGAACAGCCAAGATGTTCATGGTCTGGCCTTTATCTGTCTTTCTGGTCCTATTTCATTCCAACCACCAGCCATGCATTCCAAGCTCGGTGTCACTCTGAATTCTCACTGCTCCCTGAAGTCATAGCATAAGCTACGCTCTAGGTGTAAGAAATGTTTTCCTCCTTTGCCCTTCAGATTCCTACTCATCTCATCTTGATAACCACTCTTTTTTTTCTTTTTAGAGACAGGGCCTCGCTATGTCACCCAGGCTAGAATACAGTGGCACAATCATAGCTCACTGTAGCCTTGAACTCCTGGGCTCAAGTTATCCTCCTGCCTTGGCCTCCCGAGTATGTGGGACTACAAGTGCACGTCACCATGCATGGCTAATTTTAAAATTTTTTGTAGAGACTGGGTCTCCAACTACTGGCCTCAAGCAATCCTCCCTAACCTAAACTCCCACAGTAATTTTTACATATACAGTTCAACAGCACTTGCTTTGTGTTCGCTGTTTCACCCCATCAGCCCTCCTCCCTCCCACTC